TAATTTCTAGTTTGATTCCATTGTTGTTGGAAAACACACTCTGTGATTACAATTCTTTTAAATTTATTGAGTTTATCCTGTGACCCAGGATATGATCTATCTTGGCATATGTTCTGTGGGCACTTGAACAGAACATGTATTTTACTGTAGCTGAGTGAGTTTCCTGTAAATGTCAATTAGATCCTGTTAGTTGATGGGTGTGTTTTTCTGAATCCTTGCTCATTGTCTGTCTAGTTGTTCTAGCAATTGTTGGGAAACGGGTATTGAAGTTTTCAACTATAATGTGGATTTGTGGATTTCTCATTTCAGTTCCGTTGGTTTTTGTTTCGTGTATTTTTCAGCTCTTTTGTTTGGTTCATACACAGTTAGGATTGCTGTGTCTTCTTGGTGGATTGATCCATTTGTCATTATATAACATCCCTCTCTGTCCCTGGTTATTTTCTTCTGTTAGAAATATTTTCATATTTATCTGATATTAATGTGGTCATGCCTGCTTTCTTTTGATTAATGTTTGCATGATATATCCATTTCCATCCTTTTACTTTCAACTTACCTATATCATCTAAGTGAGTTTCTGTTAGACAGCATACTGTTGATAATAGGTTCTTTAATCTATTCTGCCAATCTCCATTTCTTAATTGCTGTATTTAAGCCATTACATTTAATGTAATTATTGGTACATTACAGCTTAAATCTGCCATCTTATTTTTTGATTTCTGGTTTTAATTTTTATGTTTTCTTTTTCCTTTCTTCCTGTGGGTTACTTGAACATATTTTTAGAACTCCATTTTGATTTGTCTGTAGTGTTGTTGAGTGTACCTCTTTGTGCAGCTTTTTAAATGGTTGTTCTAAGTGTTGCATTATGCATGCTTATCACAGTTTTCCAGTGTTGTCATTGTGCCCATTCAGGTGAAGCATGGAAACTCTGCCCCCTTTTATGTCCCTTTGCCCTCCTCTATTTATAATGCAATTGTCTTAAATATTTCCTTTACATATACTTAGAATCACACCAGACGGTGTGATAATTCTTACTCCAACCATTGAACATAATTTAGAAAACTCAAGAGATCTATTATATTTTACTATACATTTTTAAATTTTTTATTTTTCAATTACAGTTGACATACAATATTATATTAGTTTCAGGTGTACAACATAACGATTAGACATTTATATATCTTACAAAGTGATCACCCCAATAAATCTGGTATCCATGTGACACCATGTATAGATATAATATTATTGACTATATTCGTGTGCTATACATTACATCCCCATGACTATTTTGTAACTACCAATTTGTACTGTTTAATCACTTCCCATTTTTCGCCCATCTCCCCAACCCCCCTCCCATCTGGCAAACAGCAAAGTGTTCTCTGTATCTATGAGTTTGTTTCTGATTTGTTCATTTAATTTGTTCTTTAGATTACACATACAAATGAAATCATATGGCATTTGTCTTTCTCTGGCTGACTTACTCCACTCAGCACAGTACCCTCCAGGCCCATCCGTGTTGTTGTAGATGGCAAGATTTCATTCTTTTTTATGGCTGAATAATATTCCATTGTATACTGTTTCCCCAAAAATAAGACCTAGCTGGAAAATAAGCCCAAGCATGATTTTATGTGCCAGAATGTGGCACCTTGGCATACTGAATATTTTAAGCTGAAGGAGTTTGTGGAAAAGGCACCCTTCTCCCTGAAACAGGTCATAAAACCCTCATGTGAGGGGTGCGTGCCCTCCGTATCCTGGAGGAATCATGCTACAGCTTATTCTCCGGCTAGGTCTTATTTTCCAGGAAACACGGTATGTGCTACCTCTTCTTTATCCACTCATCCATTGTTGGACGCCCAGGCTGCCTCCATATCTTGGCTAATGTAAATAATGCTGGAATGAACATATGGGTGCACACATCCCTTTGAAGTAGTGTTTTGGCTTTCTTCAGGTAAATACACCAGAAGTGGGATTACAGGGTCTTTCTTTGTCTCTTGTTATAAAGTGTATTTTGTCTGGTATAAGTATTGCTACTCCAACTTTTGTTTGTTTCCATCCTTTTACTTTCAGTGTGTGTGTGTGTGTGTGTGTGTGTGTGTGTGTGTGTGTGCATATTTCAATCAGAAGTGAGTCTCTTGTAGGCAGCATATATAAGGGTTTTGTTTTCTTATCCATTCAGCCACCTTATATCTTTTTGATTGGAGCATTTAATCCATTTACATTTAAAGTAGTTGTTGATAGATATGTAAATAGTGCCATTTTATTATTCCTATTTTTGATCTTGCCAGAAGTTATGGGGACTTCTCTCCCCAGCGCTGGTGTCCTGGGCTGGGGAGCCTGGTGTGGGGCCGGTTCTCCGTGCTCCTCAGGAGGGGCCTCCGCAGCCAAGATATCCCTCTCGATTTTTAACTGCCATACGTGGGTGTGGGGCCAGCCCATTCTGTGCCTCCACCCCTCCTACCAGTCTCAGCATGCCTCCCCTGTACATCCCCAGCTATAGGACTTCCGTTTTGCTAGACTGTGGGCAATTCTCAGTGATGGTTGTTCTGTAGTTTAGTTGTAATTTTGATGTGGTCATGAGAGGATATAAGCACAGCATTTATCTACTCCTCCAGCTTGACCAGAAATCCATATTTACCTATATTTTTGCTTAACTGTGTTGTTTTTTCTTTCCTTCTTAGTGTTCCACAGTTTCTTCTGTTATTGTTTCCTTTCTGTTTAGAGAACTTCCTTTAGCTATTCTATTTTTAGAGATTTTATTGGGGAATCCGGGAAGGGGAACAGATAAGTTGCTGTCCTTTTGTTCTTCAATCTAGTTGTGGAGGACATCGCTTCACTGGCCCATGTTGGTATTATCATGGCGGCTCAAGGCAGCTCATGAAAGCGTACACCAGCTGCTGGCCAGCCCCGCTGCAGCCTACACTGTCACCTGCAACTCACGGCAGCCCTGTTCCAGGTCGAGCTGTTGTTCACCATCTTAGCTCTAGAGGGCGCAGTGTCACTCGCCCTCATGTGGGATCCAAACCGGGGCCCTGCTGCTTAGAGCTGGCATCCCAAGCCAACTCCTAACCAACGCGCCACTTGGCTGGCCCCCCTTTAGCTATTCTTTTAGGGTACATCTGTAGGTGACAAATTCTACTGGTCTCCTTGCACCTGAGAATATTTTCATTTCCCCTCCCACAAGATACAATACAAAGAGAAAAATAGTAACTTCACAGTGGAGAAACCTGTCAAACACTACCTAACCAAGAGAGCAGAGTTAACATCACCAATAACAAGACATATTGCATATCACCTCTCTGGTATTCTTGCCAAAATTGCACATCCTCACTTTAATCTTGAGAAAATATCAGACAAACCAATATTAAGGGATATTCTACAAAACAACTGGTCAATGCTGTTCAAGTGTCAAGGTCATGAAAAACAAAGACTTAGAGAGCTATTACAGATGTGTGGAGACATGACAACTAAATGCAATATGGAACCCTGGATTGGGTTCTGGACCAGAGAAAGGGCCTGAGTGGGACAACTGCCAAAATTTGAATACGAGTCTGTAGATTAGTTAATAGCATTGTATCATTATTCATTTGCTTGTTTGATGCTTGTACTATGTTTATGTAAGAGGATATCATTAGGGGGAGCAGGGTGAAGGGTATACAGGAACTCTATTATTTTTGCAACTTTTCTCTAAAATTATGTCAAAACAAAAAGTTATTTTTTTCAACTTTTCTTACACAATGCAAATCACTTAGGTAAAATAAGTTCTTCCAATTCATTTGCTTAGACAGCTGTCTTCTTTTAAGTAAGCACAGTCCTAATTTCTATAAGAAAAACACATTTAACAGAACATTTCCACATTCTTTCTGCATTGTTGCAAACAGCCTAGTGTCCTTCCTGTACTGAAGCCTGGATACAGTTTCACATGGAGACCCTGCTTTTTTCTTAAGATTTGTGATCACATAGAATTCCTATATTTGCCAGATTGTAAATTTTGGATATCTTCTGGAAAACAATTTAGCCATTCAACAAAATTTTAACGAGCACTTGTTATGTGCTAGGCACTGTTCTGGGCACTGGAGATAAATGAGTGAGCAAAATAGTCAAAAATCTCTCCTCTCATGAAGCTTAGATTCTATTGGAGGAATATAGATGACAAACAAAATAAGCATATTTTTAAAATATATTTATTGTATAGAAGAAAAAATAAAGTAGGAAAAGGGGAATGCCAGGATTTGGGATGAGGTGAGGGGAGTACCTTATTTATTATATCTTTTAAAACAGCATTCGTTGCATTTTCTGTCCTCTTTTTTGTTTTACCTTTTTCAAGACATAACTATTTGATATTATTGTGTAAAATGTTTATAATCTTTCTCTGTCCACAAGAACGTAAGCTCCACGTGAGCAAGGGCTTTATTTGTTTACTTAAAACTAAAGAACAATGCCAGGCTTATAACAGGCCCACAATAAATATCCGTTGAATGATTTCTCCCTCAAATGTTCACTCAGGTCCTCCTAGCTTAATTTCTTGCACTGAATGGGGAGGGGGGAGGATGAGGAAATATTTGTTGATTTCAGTAATTTTCAGGTTCACGTTATGTAAGAGTCCATTTTGCTAAATGGCTTATTTGAGCTTTCTGTACTTTTCTGGGGTGAAAATGAGGGATGGAACCCCCTCAGACCTGAGAATTCTTCTTAGTTGCCTGTCACCGTGAGGAATTTTTCCAGTCTGTTTGCAAGGGAGTCGTCCAATTATTCCTCCATTTTAAATATGGTAGAAAATACTTTTTCTTTTGAAAAATGAAAAACATAAAAGGAAAAATCTATTTCTCTTTCAAGCTGTGGAGATTTCATAGCTGAATGTCTTGATTACATTATCTTATCTATAGATGAAAAAGTGTCCTTATTCCACTCCCATATTTTACTCTGTGGCCTGTTACAATTATGTGGCAGAAGCATTTTTTTTTCCCTGTAACCCTAATCATCTTTCATTTTTATATTTTGAACAGTGTTATTTACTTGTCTACTACACCGGCTGGCGAAATGTGAAATCTTTTTTGACTTTTGGCTTAATCTGTCTATGCAACATGTATCTCTATGAACTTCGCAACCTCTGGCAGCTTTTCTTTCACGTGACTGTGGGAGCATTTGTTACACTACAGATCTGGCTAAGGCAAGCCCAGGGTAAGGCCCCTGATTATGATGTCTGACACCACCCTTCAGACCTATTGCCTTGGCTTCCGGGGGAAAAGGAGGGAGCTTATCTTACCTGCCACTGTGATGAAGAAGCCGTTCACCACAAACAAGAGGCTCTGCTTTCTTTCTCTCGCGCCCCTTTTTGTCCTAAGTCAGCATGGCATGCCTGTGAGCGTGCGACACCTGCTAGGCAGACTCCTCTCAGAAGAATGTTGGCCGTGAGATGATTATTCAGAAGCGGAGAAGATGTCTCTCTGCAGGGCCATCAAAGCGGAACCAGTCAGACGCCACTGGAAGACTTGGCCAGCAGTCCTGAATCCTTGATGAAGAATTAAAAAAAAAAAGTTGATCTTTTGAGGACCAAGTAGGAACTCTGAGTTTGCCTTTATGAGGCATTAGTATAGACCAAATAAAAAGATGCCGCAGTGAATTGGAAAGTTTATGTTTAAAACAAATGACTTGCTAAATATCAGGTTATTTGCACATTTATGGTACCATGAGTTTAGAAGTCCAGGATGGTATGGAATTGGTTCTTTCCCCATTTATATTTTTGCTTGACTCTTAACTCTGGGAATCCCCTGATGTAGGAGGAGCCTGTGCTGAGCTCATCTCTGGAGCATCACAAGTATTGAAAATACAGTGGCGTTTCCTTTCTGGACTACATAGGTAGTCTCTTTTGAAATCACTTTTTAAAAATATGATTCGTTAGACTATAGCCATTGTTTCCCAGACTTCAATCGCTTGAGTATGACATGTACTATTATTCTCTTAATATTTATCTTTTAAATTTAAAATATTTTAAAAAGAAACTAATCTCTACTCCAAGTGGAAAACCAGCATCAGTTTGCCATAAATAAAAGGTAACTACAAAAGAAAATTAAAACAAAAATGCTACTAAATTCTAGCTAGATGCTAATGCCTGCCATTAGCCTGCTCTTTCCTCGTTGCAGTGAGAAAGAGGTTACCCGGCACCGAAGTGGGGGTCTCTCTGTGGAGTTAGCAGGGGGATAAAAAACACTGTAACGGGAATGACATTCTCACTGTGATTCAGTATTATTTAATTTAGGGTTTTGTGCCACCAGTGGTATGGGTCCTGTAAACACTGAACTGTACTAAGATATCACAAAGTGACTTTTCTCCCAGCCACTCTTATTATTCTATGGCTTTGAGGAGTTAAGCCCCTACTCTCTTAGAGAACTTAACTTGTTTTTTGATAACATTTTAACGATTATTCAAGGAGTTATGGATTAATAATATAGGAAGCACAGTTTGAGTCTATTAGCAAAATCTCCAACTTGCCTGGTTTTAGAAGTCATCTTCATGAGTGATTTTCTTTTTTAAAGAAAAGATTCCAAACAAGGAATTCATAAGATACTAAAATTTGATATCCAGAAAAACAGTGGACCCGTTACATGTAATTCATATTACTGGGAATATTTATAAAGTAGAAGAAATAGTACAGAGGGGGAAAGTCATTGAACTGCCTTGTTTGCCCAAACAAGTTTACATATGTAGGTATGTCTACAGCTGTAAAATCTTGCTTAACTAGGACCTTTTTGCTTCTCCTTTTAGGAGAATGAAGCAAAAGGAAGACAATAAGCTTATGGGATCAGGGATTTACTTAAAACAAGAAGCCCCAATTCACTTCAATTTTCTGCCTCTGAGAAAGCTGCACAGAAATTTTGTGTATTCTGAGAGATACCCCAGGTACTGCATGACCCTAAATCAGTAAAATAAAATGGATTCATGTTTGGTATTTTGTACTTACTGAGCCAGGAATGTGAAGTGGCTCAATTTAGAAAGGTTTTATAAAGTAATGGTTAAAACAAGAACAGGTTTTTTTGTTTGTTTTGTAAATAGTCAGTTAACCAGGAAGTTGGAGCATTCTGGTTAATTGTGATTTTGCTATATATTGATATTTTATAGCTCAGTTTGGTTCTTATCACTGAATTATTGAGTTATAATGTTTGGTATTTGGATCCATTCAGCAAGGACACTTGAAAACTCACCAGCTATCTTTAAAGGCTTAATTTGGGCTTTTTGGGTTTTTGTTTTGTTTTTTCACCAGCTGTTTTGGATCAGGGGATGTTTACATCTTAATGTAAAAAATGAAAACCGATATAAATAATGTTTTATGTATAAAAAATGCTTTCTTTCATTATTTGGTGCCTGTATCTCTGAGTGTTTATATAACTTCCCTGCCTCTATCATGTTGTTGCCAAGAAATCATGAATTTGGAAAGAAGTTTTTGCCATGGGTGTAAAGAGGCCCTTAAGCTCTGGAGAAAGAATCACTTGGGCCTCTTGTGTGTATGACAGTAATAGCTTGCATATATAGTACACTTTTACTTCTAAGAGCAAGTCCACTTTGACCTCCTCATCATGAGTGTTGTGCTTAGAGGCAGTAATAGTTGCCTTCCTGTTGTGTAGGAGGGAACTGAGGTAATCAGATGTTAATGATTTACCTGGGGTCACAGAGCTACACACATAAGACTTCTAATCTCAGCCCAGGGCTGCAATGGAAACTAGTGAAGGTAAGTAAAATTATATTTAGGGGCTATGAATGCTCTTGGTAAAATCAAAGAATTGGGGACTTCTTAACGAGCTCAGGACTGCTTCTGCAAAATCTAGGTGTATATTGTCTTACTTTAGGTAATTCTGAAATGCTGCTTTTTGATTAAGGGCAGAGATACTCTCTTTTATATCCTAAAAATAATTGCAATATTTGCTTGTTTCTTTGGTCTGTATTTGAAATGTTGTTTTGGTCTGTATACCGGGCCTCCTTTCCAAAAGAATGGGATGCAGCATACCAAGCAAGAAAAGACAAATACAGTAATGTTAACAAAATGTGAACAGAAAGGGGAGAAAATCGATCAATGAAAATGGAAGGAAGGGTGAACACGTTGCTGTATCGGGTGTAAAATTTCACTCTTGAACTTTCTGGAAGTCAAGGCTAGAAGGGAACAAGTTTCCATTGCTCTAACTGTGAGTCAAAGCATACTATTGGGTTGTTGGAAAAGGCATGACGCATTTTTGTTAGGAAAAACATAGAAAAACCCACGTCATGACTTTTCTGACAATAGTTCCTCAGGGGAGACTTCTTCCTGATGAATTCTGTTAAAAATGTTTGCACGTTGGGGTCCTGGAAATGCTAAAATGAACATAGTCCTGAATTATTTTATGCATATTTGCATATTATGTTTGTGCCTTGGGTTCTCAACTTATACAAGCTTTCGAAGACTTTCATATCAGGATTTTTTTGTGTGGTTTATAGAGGATTTTGTTCTTATAAGTAAGAATTCTTAAGAAAAGAACAAGTATCCATGTTAAAGCTTGAAAATGCATTGCAGATAAATGCCTGGAGACATGGAGAACCTTTACCCAACTTTGTAATTTTGTAATTTATATAAAGTGAATATGCTATCCTTGGTTTAGCACATTTACTTTGTATTAAATGTGGTGTTTTTCACAGTGGAATCTAGTCTGGAGAAACTCATGGCTCCAGTTCTATTAGGTCATGTCTGGAATCTCATTAGAGTCCTGATTTGTCAGGGCTCCACAGAGACCAGATGCCTCATATGAGCCCTAACCTCCATGTCACAGAAGTGCTTCCTGCGTTTAGCCGCCCACCATAAAGGCAGTTGCTTGGCCTTTATTCCAAAACGTTTACAAAGTAACCCAAGGACCCACTCTGAGCTGTTGGATTTGCAAGACACACACACAGAGAAGGAGAAGGAGAAGGAGAAGGAGAAGGAGAAGGAGAAGGAGAGGGAGGGAGATTACCTTCTTCTTGTTTTTGTTCACTTTATTATAAAAGAACAAATAAATTATTCCAAAAGCAGCTACCACTCAGACCAAATTGTACACTTAGCCTTACCACAAATTATAGGTCACTCGTCAGGGCTGTGTTCTTAGTGTATGGTCAACCCTTCTTTTTATTTTTGTGCTTTATCATCTCTGAGGAAATGGAGTCTTTCTACCTAAAAATGCTGTGGGAAATCAAACCTGATTTGGGGGTTAAACTGGCTTTAGTAATAATCCTAGCTAGCAGTTAATAAAGGAAACCCCTCCAACTCTAGGGGTTATGAATGAGTTTGTGTAGAAAGGCTGCGTCTGCTGAGAATTTACGTTATTGATTAGGGTTAGAGGGGTCTGCCCATCTTTATCAGCGTTGTGGGACGACTGTTGGATGCTGGCATATGGCAGCATCCTGTCTGAGCTTTTCAAAAAGGAACAGTATGTTTGGCTGCCACTCTCAACATCTCTTCCTCTAGTGGCTCAGCTTTCTCGGCTACTTTATTTCGCAGGTGAAATCACAGCGTCGAAGCACTGCATGGTTGGAAGCCATGGCGTCTGTATCCTCCTCGCTTGTTAGCAGTGAGTGGTGCTGACATGGGCGCACACATTTTCTTCTGCCTTGGCAGTGCTGGTGTGTAATAAATAGTCGCAGCACAATTGGAGACTGGAGGAAACTCAGGGAGAGAACAGGCGTAGTTCTCAAAGAGTTCCCGCAGTCAATACCCTAGCCTTACAAATTGTTCCTGATGTTTCCTTGGCAACAAACAGTATTTTCAGCCCAACCTCACCCACGGTTCACATTTGCCCTTTTCTGCCGCATCCCAGCGCACAGCAATGCAAGTGTCACGCCGCAGAAAGCACATTCAGGCTCCGGCTGACAGAGAAACAAGACTCACATTCCATCTTCCCTGTGTTCCCGCAGCGCCTCCCAGCTCTGCCCGGTCGCTTGCCTGCTTTGTGCTTTTCTCTGAGGCAGGTTATCAAGGACCTTGTCTAGAGGTGAATGAACAATATTCTGCCCTTGCACTTGGAATTCCTCCAGTGCCTAGGACTAATGATAAGAATGCTGTGAGCACCTCCTGTGGGCCAGTGCTGGTCCTCCATAGTCACCCTTACGGCACTGGGGCAGGAGCGGGGTGGGGACTCGCACGCTCATGTGGGGAAACAAAGACACATTCAAATGTGGGATTCAGGTTTAAATGCTTCAAAAGTTGGTGCGCATTTTCCTATGCCACAGAGACTCTCAGAAAACCTGTGTGTGTGTCTGACAACCCCTGGGCTCTTACTGTTACAGCAGCAGTGAGAACAGACACAGCTGACATGGAGGGGAAATAGCACTGTGTGTGTGAGGCATGGCATCCTCACAGAGAGCTTTTATGAAAGCTTTCTATTTTACAGACAAAGCGCTTGAGACTTCGTGATGCCATGTGGTGGCACCAGGATTTCAATCCAGATCAGTGTCACTCAGAACTCATGCCCTTAACCACCATGTAATAGTAACCTAGGCAACATGGAAATATGTTCCAATCTATTCTAGATTACTTTTTTAATAATAGAGATCAAGTCAGTGTTAACTCCTGCAGTGTAAATGTCCTAGACGAATAACAGTTTCCTAAAATTCCTACAACAGCGACAGGACAGGTGGTAGCAAGAGGTATGGTGAACCTTAAGTGTG